CATCACACAAACAGTCAGAGCATACGCGTCTTGGCACCCACGTCACTGTTGACAGTTACAAGTTTGAAAAAGTAGACGACTTCGTTTATTTGGGAACCAGCATTAACACCAATAATAATGTCAGCCTTGAAATCCAACGGAGAATCACTCTTGCCAACAAGTGCTACTTTGGGCTGAGTAGGCAATTGAGAAGTAAAGTCCTCTCTCGTCGTACAAAGATCACACTCTATAAGTCACTCATCATGCCTGTGCTGGTGTATGGCGCGGAGGCATGGACAATGAAAGCATCTGATGAGGCGACTCTTGGAGTTTTCGAGAGAAAGATTCTGCGAAAGATTTACGGACCTTTACGCGTTTGTGATGGCGAATATCGCAGACGATTTAACGATGAGCTGTATGAGCTTTACAACGATATAGACATAGTGCAGCGAATTAAAATTCAGCGGCTCCGCTGGCTTGGCCATGTCGTTCGGATGGACAGAAACGCTCCTGCTCTGAAAATATTCAACGCGGGCCGCGATGCTGGTAACAGAGGAAGAGGAAGGCCTCCTCTGCGTTGGAAAGACCAGGTGGAGAAGGACTTGGCTTCAATTGGCATTTTCAATTGGCGTCAGTTAGCACAGAAGAGAAATGACTGGCGTGCTGTTTTGGACTCGGCCAAAATCGCTTAGGCGGTTACAGCGCCAATTAAGAAGAAGAAGAAGAATCTCCTTTTCTAATTACAGATTAGGGAGTTAAGCTCGAAAATAAGGATATGTATATCTATTATATATATATATATGTAAATCTATTATTAGGCGATTGAGTTACATACATACATACACATGCAGGCTAGGTTAGAAATTAAACATTAATTTCACTTCATTGTAATCATTTTATTCATTTTCATTTTTAATTCTTTTAATACATGAAATTATCGGTATAATTGATAAAATATGATACTTGTATATACTTGTGACTCAAGGGCGTTAAAATATCTTGAAAACACCGCATTAATTACTGTTTATGAGCTTGTAGTTTGAGCATTTCTAATTGTACACTGAGGGAAAAAAATATTAAAATCAAATAGAAACGTAATTGATCTTACTATAAACGTCAACGAAAGTACTGTATATTGGTAAATATTCAATTCAATTACGCGCATAGTTGATTTGGCATTAAATTCGAAATAACTCGAATCGAATATGACATTTTTGAAGCTCAATATAATACGGCCATATTTAATTTTACTATATAATATTTGAGAGAAATTTGAATACGAAAATTTTGTTTTCAATTAGATGATATCCAATTCCTTATTAAATATAAAATATTAAAATTCACTACATTCATATTTGATAGTGTTTTTAATATTTAAATAGTATAATTAAATGTGAAAATAATAAAATTTCCTTTGTTAAAATATTTTTTTTTATGGGTTTTAGAAAGCATTTTATTGAATATAAATATGCATGCATT